GCTCAGTCGGTAAAGCATCAGACTCTTAATCTGAGGGTCCAGGGTTCGAGCCTCCTGTTTGGGCAAAAAAAAAGAAAAAAGACATTGTGTGTAAAAAAAAAGACATTGTGTGTATAAAAAGGTTTTAATCGGTAAAAATCCGACACTACCTGAGCTCTTCCCTCAAAACACTCAGGTGTCTCATGAAGATTTCCTCCACATAAAAAAAAAAAAAATAGGTTAGGTTTAAGTTAGATTTAGGTTAGGTTTAGGTTATCTAAATCTTCCTCGGGTTTAAATTTCGACACAGTTTCAAAAAAACAAAAAAGAAAGATCTATTCACGGCGTATTTCGTACCATTCGCATTTCAAGCGAGTCCAGCGTCTTCTTTCTGCACTTCCCTCACTCGTCGAGAAACTCGCGCTGGTTTCGGCGATAAAAAATGCAAAAAAACGGGCTGTGGAACGAAGCGCGTGCTTCGACACACTCGCGGAGGATCATCGATCCGTGCAGGGATTTAGCCTCCGCATTTGCAGAGGAGGCGAGAAAGTGGCGCGGATTCGATCGTTGCGGAGGGGAGGGCAAAGGAAGGAAGCGGCGAACGCCGCGTCGCGGGGGTGAATTTCACTCTGGCTTTTCGACAAGAAAACTTGATCGACATCAGGTAGCGGGACAATCTATCACCGGGCTAGTTCTGTTACTGGCTCCGACGTAAAATCAATGCCGATTCTCATTTCTATGTAAATTATCCTCGACGCGAGGTCGCTGTCGAAAGCTGGCGAACCGACAGTCAACGCGCGTCCCGCGCGCATATTTTCGTTTTTTTGCCTGCCGAACCGAACTTTTGTACCCTGTAATCGCGTCAAAGCTCGACGAGGATGTAATTAAACTTCTCTGGATAAAGAAGTTGCTTCAGACGAGAGGTGGTCCGAGATTCTTTGTTTACCCCCATCCCCCCTCTTTCTGTTTCACAATTGTCAAACCTTCGTCGTTTGTTTTTCTTTTTATTCGACCACCGAGTGGTCAAATTCGACTTTACCGGTCGGCGAATAATTCGGGCTCGATCGACTCGGTCGTCGATTGAATGGCAATCGAATCAAACCGCGTCGCGCACTCGAATTAGGGAAACTTTCGAATATAGTTATGGCCGATTGAAAATCGTGTTACCTGTTATAATCTAGTTTCGTCAGAAGATTGACAGCAGTCGTTACCAAGAAATCAGGGGGGGGGGCGGGGGCAGAGAGGCTGGCAGTTTGATCGAAGCTCCGGTGCGATTGGATTACCCTCTGAATAAAAATGGCACGCTCGCGATCCAGCCGCCGCTTTAAATTGCGTTTTGAATTTCAGAAGTTTCGTCCGAAGTTTACGAATCGCGTCGTTAATGTAACAGGCGAGGATCGAGGGGGAGCGAAGGGAGTAACAACGAAACAACAGAGCGTGTACACGAAGAGAATTGGACATTGTCGTTATTTTCTATTGAGCTTATGAATGGCTTATTCTATCGTAATTATCGCGATCCGACTGCGTGACTGCCGGCGGAATCCCTCATTGTCATTCCATGTTCGTGTTTACGCTCGTCGTTATGATACGATCGATACAACGATCGCAGGTTTCGACAATAGTGTTCGAACATCAATAGTATCCTGGAAATGGTCACTTACTGAATTCAACTTTTCGACGTAATTTCGATCTGCATGTAATACGGTGGATCCCTGGATATAATTTGGATTTAGATGTGAATTTTGGGACATAATTTGGATTCGGACATAATACAGTGGATTTTTGGACATAATTTGGATCTGGACATAATACAGTGGATTTTTGGACATAATTTGGATCTGGACATAGTCCAATTTCGATATAATTTGGATTTGGACATAATACAGTGGATTTTTGGACATAATTTGGATCTGGACATAGTACAATGAATTTCTGGACATAATTTGGATTTGGACATAATACAATGGATTTTTCGATATAATTTGGATTTGGACGTAATAGAGTGGATTTTTGGACATAATTTGGATCTGGACACAGTACAATGGATTTTTCGATTTAATTTGGATTTAGACGTAATACAGTGGATTTTTGGACATAATTTGGATCTGGATATAATACAGTGGATTTTTGGACATAATTTGGATCTGGACATAGTCCAATGGATTTTTCGATATAATTTGGATTTGGACATAATACAGTGGATTTTTGGACATAATTTGGATCTGGACATAGTACAATGAATTTCTGGACATAATTTGGATCTGGACATAGTACAATGGATTTTTGGACATAATTTGGATCTGGACGTAATAGAGTGGATTTTTGGACATAATTTGGATCTGGACACAGTACAATGGATTTTTCGATTTAATTTGGATTTAGACGTAATAGAGTGGATTTTTGGACATAATTTGGATTTGGACACAGTACAATGGATTTTTGGACATAATTTGGATCTGGACACAGTACAATGGATTTTTGGACATAATACATTATAATACAACATAATACAATGGACATAATTTGGATTTGGACATAATACAATGGATTTTTGGACATAATTTGGATTTGGATATAATACCGTAGATTTTTGGACATAATTTGGACCTGGACATATTATAGTGGATTTTTTGATAGAATTTGGATTTGGATTTGGACAATTTGGATATAAAAATTCGAGAATCGCGTATAAGATATGTAAGTTTATTGAGCAAAATATACTTAAGTGTATTAAATGTATTCCGAAATGTTTTTAATGATTTAAAAACGGGCAACTTCTCTTTCTCATTGAATAAAATTCCAGTCATTATAAAAGCATATTTTGCAATTATTCTAGCAATATTCCGTCATTAAATACAAGTATATTAATATTTATTTAACACTTTGAATTTTCCTATTTATTACTATTGTGTAACTATCATTTAGCACTTTGAATTTTTACATTTATTATTATTGTATGTACAACTGATTATTGGAAATTGCTGGACCGTGCACATTTTCCACGCAGTGAGCCATTTATGGGAACAGAATTCTCCGAAGTATCATCATTTGTTTTCGTAAAGATATTGCCAAAAAATCTTGCCGCGCCAATGCTCTTCCGGTCCGCCGCCATTTTGTACATTCTTGCGCGATATTTAAATATTTTTGTTTGCTATATATTATACCTTATTATACTTTCTCTGTCATTAGTTTGCAAAGTGATTTCGGTTTTATTTTATAACATTCTGTTTCATTTAAGTGAATATTATTTATCACCTTTCATTTGCTTTTATTATATCTTTTTTTTTTACTTATTACCTTTTATTACCTCGCTTTTTACTTCTCATCT